TTACATGAAATGGAAGGCTATGTTGCCTGACAAGATCTTTGTATACAAAATAACGGAACAATTGTTTTACATCATTGTTCAGATCACACAGGTGTTGACTAACAGAAATGCATGGAATGAATAAGGCCGTTTAGCAAGAAATTCTCAGGAGCAAGTTAAGTCTTTTTGACTTCTGCAGAATAACTGAATAATTTGCACCATGCTAAAGAATGATAGTAATCTTTTATGGGCATAATTACAACTATGGAGGTCTTGCATGGGGTCGTGGGAATTTGTCATGAACATTGGTTGAGCTTCATTTCCACCTTTGGTCTCTTGACCCTTGACCTTAGAGCTCTTAGACTTCAGGGTGCACATGAAGTCTTGCTTCATTCAGCAGCAGGAATCCTGTACATAAAGTTATTTTCTTGCAATGTCCTTTGGAGCCTTGGAGTTGTCCCTGCTGGAGGCGGGGCCAAGCACTTATCCCTTAGCTTGGAACCTTGACACTTACTGCTATATGCACTTCTAAAAATTCAAGTGTAAGTAAGTTTTATTTTCTAGATGACTGTGTAGTTGAAAGTTTGATAGCTTCAGGTCATACAGCAAAGAAGCAGCTTAAAAGAAAAATTAAAAAACCCCTACGTCCCCAAATACAATGTATTGTATTCTAAGAGACTGATGAGCTAAAGAATGTGGGGTTTAATTATTTCAGTGTGAAGTTATGCTATGCTGAGATTCATAAAATCATAGAATATCCTGGGTTGGAAAGGGCCCACAAGGACGTCAAGTCCAACTCTTGGCCCTGCACAGGATCACCCCAAGAATCACAGCATGTGCCTGAGAGTGTTGTTCAAATACTTCTTGAACTCTGTCAGGCTTGGTGCTGTGACCACTTCCCTGGGGAGCTGTTTCAGTGCCCAACCACCCTCTGGCTGAAGAACCTTTCTCTAAACCTAAACCCTAAACCTTCCATAAAACAGCTTCATGCCATTACCTTGGGTCCTGTCATTGGTCACCAGAGAGAAGAGATCAGTGCCTGCCCCAACACTTCCTCTCACAAGAAGTTGTAGACTGTGACAAGGTCTTCCCTTAGTCTCCTCTTCTCCAGGCTGAACAGACCAAGTGACTTCAGCTACTCCTCATATAGCTTCCCCTCAAAGCCCTTCACCATCTTTATTGCCCTCCCTTGGACACTCTTTAACAGCTTAATATCTTTCTTATATTGTGGTGCCCTAAATTGCACACAGTTATTCAAGGTGAAGCCACACCAGTGCAAAGCAGAGCAGGACAATCCCCTCCCTGGACCGGCTGGCGATGCTTTACCTGATGACCCCCCCGGACACAGTTGGCCCTCCTGGCTGCCAGGGCAGTGCTGACTCATGTTGAACTTGCCATCGACCAGGTCTCCCAGGTCCCTTTCCATGGCACTGCTTTCCAGCATCTCATTTACCACTGTGTATGAACATCCGGGGCAGCCCCATCCCAGGTGCAGAATCCGGCACTTTCCCTTGTTAAACTTCATACAATTGGTGATTGCCCAGCCCTCTAATTTGTTCAATTAGTAGCTTATCGACTTCTCCTCTCAATTAAAAAACGTAAATGGATATACATATGCGTGGTGATTGATCTACACTCTCGGAAAAAAAAAAAATTGCTGAAAACATGTGGCTGTCCCAGAAGCAGGGCCGGGAGCTGCAGCCTCTGCCCGGCCCCCAGTCGCCGAGGGCTGTTTCCACGATACCCTGTCGCGATCGCTGGCGAGGGGGGTCGACGTGGGCGGGTCCGGCGGTGACGAGGCGCTGCCTGAAGGAAGGAGGGCGCGGGGGGCTCGGCCGGCGTTGCCATGGAGCCCTTTGTGCCCGGCGGAGCCACCTCCCTCGGCCCGCCCGCCCCACTGCCCCGCCGGGCCGGCGGCAGCTGCTGCTGCCCGGGCCGGGCCGCCCTCCATCTCCATCCCGCGGAACAGCGCTCGGCAGTCGCGGCTGGGTTTTGTTGTCGCCGCCGCCGCTGCTCCTGTTGTGGTCCACCCGCTCGTTCAGGCCGCCGACTGATTTCTCTTTCAAGTTCCTCTTTGTAAGTGGTGAAAGGAGAGAGGAAAGAAAGAAAAAAAAAAAAGAAAAATAATAATAAAAAAAAGAGCTGCTTGAGCTGCCGCTCCGGAGAGGACGGAAACTCGGCCCGACGGTGAGGAGACTTTCCAGGGCGCAGCTGAAGTGATTCAAGAGATTAATTTACAAGTGGGCGACAAAAGGTAAAGCGTTAAAGATGGATCGCTTGTTTGAGGTGAAATGCTAGGCTTCGCGGAAAGTTTTGTAACTTGTTTTAAAAAGTCACTTGCGAATGGCTTAGGGATGTTTTTGGACTTCAAAATGGTTTAAATCTGATTACCCAGTAGCAATAGGTAGCATAATTGGCTACATTTAGAGTTCTCGTTAAAGGCCAGAAAGTAGGTGTTCCTCTTTAGTGTCTTGTTTCTTCAAAATGCCTCATGTCCTTATTCAGCAACACTTGATTTGGCCGCGATTATTTCTTGTTTCAACCCGTCTGCAGCAAAGATTTAAGGAAATCATAGTTCCACAGAGATAAAATATTTCAACAGGCTAATCTTTCTTGTGCAAAAATGTATTTCTGTAGGTGCATGCTTCTGAGCTTACAGACCCGTTGCTTTGTACTTTCATCCTAGAAAATGTTCTCGGTAAATACTACATACTCAACTTGTAGTGGTAGCTCTTTTTTCAGATTATAGTCTTAGATAGGTGAGAAGGGGATTTGCATCCTTTCTAATAATATTTAACCTTCAAAGACTTTGCTCAGCTTTTCAGGTAGATTTTTAGATGGCTCAGCTAATTTGAAATTCATTACAGATAGTAAAAATAATGCATGGTTATGACCTGTTTCATCTGGTGCTGCCCAAGACCCAGGGAAATGTGACTGACTGTTCAAGGGATTAAATAAATAAATTTCACGTGGAAGTCAGTTGTGTGGAAAATGTCCCAAAAGCCTTTTCTAACATGCATGTGTATACTTGTTAAGGTAACAGTTTATTTACTAGTTTGATCTTTTGGCTGAATTAAATAAAATATATAAAATGTAAAAACAAACCATGCCCCCTGTATCTAGTACTTCCTACCCACAAAAAGTTTTTCGAACAGGTTGTTTTTATGCATTATTCCTGACTCAAGAAAGACACTGGAGGAATGTGCTATTGTGGAGTAATGCTGTTGACTATGTGACTGCATTTGGAAGAGTAAAGGAATAAGCATGTACCCTCCCAAAGTCCATAATGAATGATTTTGATGGAATTTTTTTCTGACGTAGTTAGTTTTTATCAGTTAAAGTAGGAAATAAAAGATTTTCTAGATCAAACTGTTTTAACTGCTTAATGCTAAGCTAGATGCTGGGGCTTTTTGTGTTTTGTTTTTGCGTGGTTGTTTTATAATCTAGAATATTGGTTGTTGAAAAAATCTTTCTTCATGTGTTCCAACTTTTAATAGACCAATACAACTACTGTAATTACTTCAAGATCAAATTTTATTTCAGAAAAATTTAGTAAAACTAATTCACTGTTTGACTAGTGGTCAGTGGTTTAAATGCTGTGTGCGATTGATCCAAGCTTGTTCATACTTGATTCAGTTAGCTGCCACTAACTAGTTTGTGCCACTAGACTGATTTTAGTAAGACAGTTTTACTTGTTATGTGGTAATGAGTTGACTGTGGTGTCTTAAAGCATGCTTGTTACTGTGAATTCTTTCAGTAGCTTTTTAATTGCAGACAGTTTAATTTTAGTGGCTTCTGAAGTTGTGTCCAGAAACTTGTTACCTTCCTCCTCTCCTCTCTGAGATGTTCTCCATACAGACCCCAGTTGGTCTTGGCTTTGGGAAGAACATTAAAGTGACTCAGAAACCTTCATGAAGTGCTTGTGAAGCCTGTGGTGTCAGAGCAGTAGCTGAAGTTGTTTCAGCAGTTAATTCCAGTCTCCTTTTCTAAACTCCTCCGAGCCAGGTGTAGAAATAAAAATTCAGTGAAGTCTCTAATAGAGTGTGCTCTCAGTGGAACCTCCTGCGGTTGATAAATATTTCAAGAAGCTGAAAGTTAGTGATACATTTTAAATGCACTGCTAAGCTGAGATATTTCATGGTCCTTTGCATACACATTTGCATTATTCATTTGTGCTGTGCAGATAGATAATGGGCCAAATCTATCTTTGGTATTACTCCACTGATTTCTGAGTAACTGAGCTAATTCAACCATATGTGTACATCTTACGTTTTGAAGTTCAAGGCAAAGTTGGAATTACTTCAGTGATTTTATTATACAGGTAAGAGTTGTTTATATAGCAACTAGTAATGTTCAGTAGATTAGGCATTTCTTCGTTAAAGTAGTTGTAAGCAGAAGGTATAATTAATTTTTTCTTCTTTTTCTGAAAAAAACCCACCACTTTTAGTCTTCTAGTTGCTGAATCCTAACGTCAGTGACAGTGAGATGTGATAAACCAGCTTTCTGTCATTGCTAAAAATTCATCCTAATAACCTACTAAAGTAGAAGTTCCTGACACATTTTTTGTAGAATGATACTTACTTCAAGTAGATGCTCTCTCTTCACATTTTAAGTAGCCTTCCATACATGAGTCCATGATACTAAGGTGGTGCATTTGTGTATGTGCATGTGTGCAAATACGTATGCATACAAGCTGTACATATATCTCTCTTTTGAATAGTTAGGGACTTGCTTTAACGTACAGTGAGAGGAAAGGGTAACAGAAAATGGAAAACCTTGATCTAACAGCATGCACTAGATTTAAAATGCTTACACTGGACAGGTCATTCAGATGACAGAGTATGTAATACATTTGATAGAAGCTACTATTGCTACATTTAAATCTGTATATGGAAGAGGTTATTACTTGAGGGGGAGGCTTATTTATTTATTTATTTTAGGAGATAATGATGTTGTAGAAATTTTAATGACAAATTAAAAATTAATTTTTGAGATACAGATAGATACTTTCAGAAGACCCTTAACACGGGATTCATCCTATTATGAATAGTTTCTGCCAGAGATCACGGCCTTTGTATGGCATTCTCAGAATGCTCATTCCAGTAATTTCCTTTTGAAAAGCTAACATGAAAATTAAAGCAGGAACTTTGTCCTCCCAGCTGTGAACACATGCAACACATCTCTGTCAGTCTTGAGTGTTACAAAAATGTGCAGTTTCAAGGATCTGGAAGAAAAAGCATTTGGAAACACAACTGCATGTCAGTCGAAGTAAGGCTCTACTTAAAACGCTCTGTGTCTAACATTTTCTAATGACAGTGTTCATGGCCAAGTTATTCAGCAAAAGTCCTTGATTTTATCACAGTTCAGTGGAGCAAATAGAACCTGGGAGTCAATAAGAAAAACACCTATACATTTAAGATGCCAGGGTATTATCACAGTTACATGTAATTCCTGTTAAGACTAGTTCTAAAAGTTTTATTCTCAGTGGAATGAGACGCGTTGGAGCCAAATAACTTTCACAGCTTTAGAAGTTGTGAGGGAAGCAAAAAGTTGGGACACAACTCCCTTCTATGCTAGGAAAGGCTGGAAAAGTCTATTGAGACTGCAATAAACGTTTATTGACAGTTACTTCTAAAACTATAGGCAGAAAAATACCATCCTTTTGAACTGTTGAGCAATTACATTAAATCATTTGGTGATCAGGAAGCGGTCAGATGTCATCACGTTTTTTTTTTTCTTGTTCTGGCTTGAAATTTCCTGGTAGTGATGAACACTGGTAATTTTTTGTTTTTTAGGAAACCTTGAGTTGTCTAAATAATATTACCGCTGAGCAGGTGTGTGTACCATATGTTAAGATATTTTGATTGTATAATACAGAAATAATAGTGATTATTGCCATCCTCTTAACATTGTACAAGTGTTGTATAAGGATATCTACATCTGGAATGGTACCAAACAGTCAGTTTGGAAACTGAGGGCAGAAGATGCCTTTACTTTCTAGTACAGCCTCTTGTTCTGGTATATGCCCAGAACTATTTTAACTGGAACATATACACATTCCTTGTTGGATTTGCATGAACAGTGACTCAAAGATGATGTTGGCTGCCATGGTAGGAAAAGGGCAGGTTGCTTGTCTAGCCTACTGGATGGCCCAGCAGACTGTATAATAAGTAACAGCATCTCTGTTACAACCTTAGTTGTGCAGTTCCTTATTTCTATTTTGTGAAGCCACTGCACAGTTGGAATGGGTAGTAAATCCAAAGTCTAATATGGTTGAGTTAGACTCTGCTGCTTGACTTTTCACTCCTTTGGTTCTTTTTTTTGTCTGTGAACTTATTGGTAACTTTATTTCAAAAGTAACAGGCAGTTGTATTTTGATTCCTTGCTTGAGCTGACTCAATCCAGTACTGAGTTTGCTTTTCTGTGTTTCCAACTCTTTCAGCTTTTTTAAGTGACAGAGCTTATGAATGTGCAAAAGGGACATGTCAAAACCTGATACAAGTTCTCTTGCATAGAGGATTAAGATTACTCCAACATCGATACTCTCAGAGGGGTGCTGTTGACTAAAATGTAGACAACAACATAAAAGTTGTGATATTACACACTTGTAGTTTTTTTCCTGTTAATTTAATGGCTTATCTTTAGAAGGGCCAGTATTTTATCACTGGGCCTGGTCTAGCATGAAGCTTCTAATCATGCTTTTATCTTTTAGACTGTTGAAACTGTTAGTTCTCACAAGCTGGCCTTTAAGCTGTAGAAAAGTCACCTGTTGCTAGACACTAACTTAGAAAACCTAAAAAATTCTTCTCCTTCAAGACATGGTTAATTGTCAATAAATAAATACAAATAATTAAAATAGAAAGATCTGATAACAGAGATTTTAAACAAACAAACACCTCCATACCACAAGAAACAGTTTTGCAATTTTTTAAAATTTTTTTTCCCCAAGGCTACATGTCTGTCTTACCCTGATTTCAGGTTAGATTTCTTTTGGCTCTACAGCTCTCTCAATTGTCTTTTTATGTGATAAACATTGAATAGCCAGATTTCAAATTGAGAGTCAAACATAGAAATGGCCCCATGTCAGCTTTTGATGAGGAGTGGTTTTTCATCTTTGTGCTTCGTCTGTGCTCCTTTTCTCCCTCATTCTGTGCAGTGGCCCAGTTGTTTTTCATTGTCTGTCTTTCTTCATCATTCAAAGCCATTACCTGTGCACAGCCCTAAACTGCTGGGCTATGACTCTTTTCCCACCTAACTGATACTCACACGGGTATAGTCCTTCAAAAAAGCTACTGTCAGCCCAGTCCCTGCTATTAGACAAGGAATGGTCCTCAGTTCTCATGTGAAATTCAGTACCATTAGGGAGGGAAGTTTGTGGCTGCTGAGTCAGAGGAAGTATTTTTAGTGATTTGTCTCTAATATTTTCTTCTTTTTTTTTTTCTAATGAAATCGATGGTATTCAGTAAAAGCCGGAAGAAGCTCTCAGATGGTTTAAAATGAGGTATCAGGATCTGCTGAAATTTGTGGACCTTGGCTGATTTAGCAGGCAGTAAGTCTGTGGTGGGTTGCTTTATGGTATCCTTGAAGCTGTGGAAGAGACTTGCCTGAGCTGGTAGAATTCATAGGTTTTGGTGTGCTTTTGCTGAAACTGTTACATTACTGCTTTAAGTAACTTCAGATATAGTAAACTACACCACATAGTGGCATATCCTGTGAAGGAGGTGAAACATCACTAGATCTATCTACATAAATTGTATTTGAAATCATTCACTCAGAAGGATGCGATTAAAAGGGGGGGGGAATCATATATAAACTGCAAAAGCCTTTGAACTTTGCTAAATAATTTTACAGCATCCTCATCATATGTATTCCCTTCTAAACAGTCATAAGGAAAACATGGAAAGACATGTGCTTGACATTCATAAAGCTTCATACACTGAAATATTTTTGTTTTAATTTTTACCAAGCACAAATGCCTAAAAAGTCATTCCCAGTGAGTGATATTCTTGTACTAGGATCTGATTAATAACTTACATTCCCTAATCTGTTAATTAAACAAACATATAGAAAAGAATTTATAGCAGTTTTATTTTAATATAATTGTTCTCATACAAGATTAATACTACATAAGAGTATTGAGTAACCCCTGTATTAATCATGTTTCTTTCCTTATAATTTTTTTATGCTTCACTTCCCTTTAAGCCTACATGCTCTGATCCAGCAGTGATTTGTAATTTTCATCAGAAATAATAGAGCTTCTGTAATAGAAACTGTGTATTCACTACCAAAATATTAACTGTATTGAAACTGTAGTTACAGAGGTGGGAAATTTTCCTTCAGCAATAACATAAAGGAGTGTATAGATTTCCTATTAATTTTTGCCATAGGAGTTAGGCTTTATATATGTCTTGCATCCATTTTTAGAGGAGGTCAGGATGTATCTCTGGTCTCCCATTACTGCTATCCTGATGTGCTGGCAATGCATGGTTTGGTTTGGTTTGGTTTGGTTTTGTGGGGAGTTTTTTGTTTTGTTTTCTTGGGTTTTTTTACAACTTTCTTGAATTTTGTTTCATAGACGAAATAACTACTATTTTGTTAGCTTTTGAACTCTAATTTTGCAATTACTCTAGGTACCCTAGGTACTTTGTTTCTAATAAATCTTTACCACAAAAAAAATTAACTATTTTTTAACAGTACCTGTAAGTGGATTTTCAAGTGCCATTGCCCCTCTTAAATAAGCTTCTGCTTAAATAAGCCTTGTTTAAAAGGCCATGTATATATACATCGAGTGCAGAATTACATAAACAATAATATTAAAATTAGCCATGTCAAAATTAGCTCTGTATTTAAATAGGAACTTTATCTAGATTATGCATCTCTATACTCTTCCAGGGCTCCTTACACAGGTTGATTCTCTTTGGAAAGTGACATTTCACACAACATAATGCCTAACAAACTGTGAAAATAACAGTACCTTTGACAATCTGTGTTATTTTCACTGTGTTTAGTAGTAGTTTAAAGTATGTTTTTTAATTAGTATTATCATAATGAACTTGTGCTGCACATCAGAAATAAGTTGTTTCTTATATCATAGGAGATGTCTGGCTTATATTTTAAATTTTGGTACACTGAGAACTTGCTCTAAATCAGACACATTTTCATTGATTCAATTGAGGTAGTCGTCCAGAACTTGGCAGCTGTAGATCCATCACATGTTGAATGAGACCCAAAATACCTCTGCAATATGTCTGTATGCATCTCAGTCATGGGTTCCACTGGAATGGAGTGGGGAAAGTTCATCTTTTTCCTGTGGACTGTGGCAGTACACTCTTTGCAGGATTACCTGAAAACGTTCCTTAAAAGTTACAGGATTTCCTTTCATGGATAAGCTCTTGTGATAACACCTTCCTGAAACATGTATCTTTAGACTCTTTAGTTTATCATAACAGGATTTTTTTCTAAAATTTTGTCAGTTTATTCACGTGTCAGTGATAACTTGCCCACAGACACAATAGCATTGCTTCAGAGCACATGTGAATTGTGCTTTTGAAAATTGTGTTTGTTTGCAGAAAATGTTACCTGAACTGATATGAAAACACCAATAGTCTACTAAGTATATGAATTTATATTTATATCCTTTCCATCCAGACAGACACAGGGCATCTCAGCCTTGCGAACATACTTGGTGATGTTTGAGGAAAAATAGGGGGAATAACTTTGACTGTGGCTCCTTCGTCATTCATGTTCCTAGCTGTGCACTCATGAAGACAAAGTGGTAGCGTTTTGTAGGATAAGATGCTTACTGTTTTAAGTAGTAGCAAATTTCTACACACTTTGGACTTTAAGCCGTTGCTCCCATATGCAACCAAGTAAGTTACAAAGCCACCACCCATCACTTGCAAGTGCTCACAAGTGGAGGAGGACAGCAGTTAGTTTACAGTGCAACTTGAGGCCATTTCTCTTACTACCCAAATGTTCAGGTACCAGGTTAGTAAGTTTGCAGCATGAGACCTAAAAGATCTTGACATCCCTGACTTGAGTTTGCACTTCTGTGGTTTTCTAGAAAACAAAATCCAGAAGCAACTTGGCAAATTTGGTTAGTCTGTGATGCTGCTGGTGTTTCTGGGAGCCAGGTGAGATTCCCTCACAGGCTAGATACTTGGAGTCCTGACTGGCTCCCTCCAGCATACCATGTATAAGTCAGTAAAAGTGTATTAAGGGTACCAGAGGGCATCCTGAAGAGCATGCTGTATGAATTTTTGTATTTGTTCTCAAACAGTTTGGGTATATGCACTGTTAGATGTAAGAGGACTCGTTAGCTCCTAAACGGGAATGCATTCACAAATAGCACCTGCATCCACCTGAGTAAGGCTTTATTTTGTCTGTATAAGCATGAAGATTAAAGTGGGGTTTACAAGTTTTTTCCAAACAAAATGTGATTTAGTTGATTATTTTAAAATTTCAGATATTATTGAATCCTACTATTAGCTAGTGGCCTACTGTCAATCATTGTTTTGCATACTGAAAATCTATGACATTATTTCACTGTCAGTATGTCTGTGCCCTGTTTCCTTCTGTGTGTTCAGAAGTCACAGGGCTACTGCATGGCTTCAACTCAGAAAGTCCGACAGCAATAATCTTAACTGTTTCCTATTCTTATTTATAGTGCTTTAGTGTCTATATTATAATGCCTTAAAATGGAAATGATCTTGGATAAATGTAAAGGCAAGGTGTTCAGACACTATTCTCTGGAATTAAATTCCTTCTGTTAGTAAGTCATGCAATAGGGATGGCTGTGGCATGGCTGCAGGATAGAGCAGACAAAGAAACTGCTTGGTTAGCTGTGACCTTCAGATAGACTCTGAATATCTATTTGGACAAACTCTAAAAGGCTTTATGGTTAAAGCTGTTATCGTACCAGGGCCTCCTGGCCCTATCTTTACATTTTTAAGACAGGAAAGAGACAGAACCTAAACTTTAGTTAATACTGGCTCTTGAAAAACAGCTATCCATAAAAACAGTGGAATTCCTATTCAGTACGTTCTCCAAGCTCTTACACAATCTACTTATACAGTAGATTTTCCTTCCTTTAAACTTTTATTTTTAATGTTCGTGGAATGCTTTAAAAGAAAAATTAGCCATTTGATTATCTGTGGGGAGAAATCAGACTTAGATTTGAGACAGCCAGTATTGGGACTTTGCATTTTCTGATTGACTTTTCTGAATGACAGAGTAGGTTTATTAAAAAAAAAAAATACATTCTTCCATCTAAAAATCAATATATCTTGGAAGGGAATTTGGAGAAAATTAAATACAAACATTGTAAAGGGATTGATCTCCAGTGTTTCTTGGGATGGGAGCCCAGTCATTACTGTTTGGCAGTACTTATTGCTTCAGGACACCTTTTTGTCATGACGTAATATTTTTTTATATATATATAATGGAAATAATGTTCATTGACCTCATGCTGATCTTACTTGAGTTCTTGAAACACACAGCAATAAAGCACAATATAACTGTGAAAAAAATTAAATTTTCTTTAATTAGTTTGAAAAGTGATTTTTAAAGAAAATCAGTTTAAAAAAAAAATCAGTGTGGCTCAATTTGCCAAAACATGATCAGGATTCATGAACAGCTTGTTGGCTGAGCTCAACAGCAGTAGAAACTGTAGTCGATCAGTTCTACCCTCTTCAGCAGGTGTAACACCAGTTGATGGCAATTGCAATACATGGTTTCAGGGGAAATGTGGATAATGTGTCCAGATGATAGTAACATCAACAAAGTATAGAAAAACACATGGGCAGATGGTTGGCTTATTCTGTCTACGTGGTTACAGGTACTTAAATTCACTGTAATGGAGTTTATCTACTGTCATGTTGTGGGTTTCTCTCTTACAGAGAAGGATTTTATGGCAGCTGCTAATCTTGCAAAACAGTTCACCTGTTGCAGTCTTTTTGCAGTCTTAGCTGCAGGGTTTTTTTCTTTTCTTTTTTCTTTTCTTTTTTTAATCTTTCTTTCCAAAAGTATTGAAGTGTTAGGTTTGGCTGCAGTGGGATGTATGGCTTTATGGCTTTGACATACAGCAAGGTATTTTTGCGGTGAGTCTGGATACTTCAGACCTTCACAGACAGAAAGAAGATAAATTACACACTTCTCAAATTTCACCCCTAGAAAAAAAAGACCCTCTAGGTTTATCTAATTGAATAATTCTTACTTTTTGGTTTTTGTTTTCTATTGTGCCAGAAGTTTATTTAATCCTGAAATTGCTGAAATAGAACATCGACTACACTTGATATATGGAATATTAAAATATATCAATAAGTATTAAAAATATTTAGTCAGATTGTTAAATTATGAGTCATTGTTCTTTGAATCCATTTATGTATAAGTGAAAATGGTGGTGTATCCAGCTGTCCTGTAATCAGGACAGCCTGTTGTCATGAGCAGAGCATTCTATGTCTATTATCTGCTCCAGTCTCTTTGCATTCCCACTGCTAGAACTCCTTAAAATTCTAGATCATCACAGCTTGCAAATTTAAATTCAGTGCTTTGTAAGATTAATTCAAAAATGTATCAAACTATAATTTTGAAGCTGATGTGAGCATTTAAAGAAAAGGGGGTTTATCTGCTGTTCATTTAATGCAGCATGAAATTAAAATCTGAATCAAACAATAAAAATTTAGTAAATACGATCCAGCATTTATTATGAGGCCTCGTTATTCCATATACATAGTAATATTTTCAAAGCATAATTTTGTCTTCTTCCTAAGCTGCTCAAAATGTTTCCCCCTGTTTTTCAACAAGGCATTTTGTGTTGATGTTTGTAATTAGATCATTTGCATACAGTCATCATTAGAAAGTTTCCATTTTCAGTTGTTACAATGCCATGGTGTCTGAATTATCCAAAGCTTTCTCATTTAGAAATATTTGAAATTATAATTTAGGTCACATAGTTCTTGAGCTAACCATTAATTTTAGAGTTATTTTTCACATGACTACTTCTCAAGCTTAAGCTTGTTTCACTGTAAGTAATTTTGTAGTCTCCATTTTAGTGAGGTTCTAAGTATAGAATATTTTTGTAGGGAAAACATGGTTACAAGTTATTTACGTGAAGTCCTGTACCCAGATCCACGTGTACTCAGTGTCTATGGGGATACCTGTCATCCTGTCTTCCTGAAAAAGTGATAGGTAAGCATGGTACCAAACATACCCATAGCAGTGGTGTTCATAAAATTTGCTAACAGGTACAAAACCTCTGTCACTGGATTGAGAGATATGCTCTGTAAATTTAGGAAAGTAAAATTCTACCAAAAAAAAAAAATCAACTTTAACATATCTGCAGGAGGTTATGGTCCCCTCTACCCAGTCTTGACAATAATCAAGTTGTCAAACTTCATAAAACAATTAGGGTTGGCTGTAGAGACTGTACCTTATGCAAGTACTGAAACTAAAAGGGCTTCCTGAGCCTCTCTTGTGTCAAACACAAGGTGGAAGAACGAAAGGTAGGAACTGTTTGCAGTGTGTTCACGAAGCTGCTTAAAGGGAAAGGAACTGATTTATAAGGGTTAAATTTTCAAAATCCTTCTCTCTAAGTGGTATTACGCTGTTGGAGGGGTTTGCTCTTCCAAAAAAAAGATGTGAAAAGTGGTTGGAGACACTTTATATTCTGATGATGCTGTCAGAGACATCCCAAACATTGTTGCAAGGTCTCTGCCCACTTTTCATGAATTTATTCAAGGGAAGCAATGCTGTATTTCTTTCCCTCTGTCTCTCTCTTTCTGACTTTGCTCTGCAATGGACATGAGCCAGAGAAATGTCTGTCTTGGTCAATGAAGTCTCTTGTTTGAGGAAATGAAATAGAGTGACTACAGTGAGTACATGCCATTAAATTATTTCTTTCATTCTAATTCCACTGACTTTGCCTTTGGAAAGGATGTACACTTTGCCAGCCTGTAATAAGAAAAATCAGTCTTTACCAAATCAAAATCAAGCTTTAGGAATGGGAAAGTAACACAATAATAAGAAAGCTTCAGTGGAGGTGAAATCTGGCTTAAAATTCTGACTTTTGTACACTAAATATGTACTCTTTCTTTTTAAGTCAAAGAGGAAATTGCTCTATAAATTTCCGGCACTTACTAAATAATCAGTTTGATGTCATATTTTGACTATCACATGATTGGATAATGTAAAATACACAAGGAATAGACAACAGAACAGGCCCAGAAAATTAAGTAGCTTTTCTTCTATTCTTACAGTTTAGCATTACAAATGTTTCTGGTACTTGTGTATTCCAGTCTGCTTAGACTCTCCTTGAAAGGATCTGAATCAAAGGAGCCAGGCTTATTCAGCAAAGAAACTTTGCAGGACTATATCCAGTGTAACTTCTCAGGTAGAGTAGAGAACATTAGTGTTTTGCATGGGATAGGCTATTATCGAAAATCTGCAAACAGAAAGGGATGAACTTTGCAAGATAAGACAAGATGGACCATCTATGATCAATTAAAAAAATAAAATAATATTCTCCCATATAACTTTTGAAATAATTGAACATCCTATCCATTCCTAGCCCTCAGGCTCACAAGGAAGAAGGTACACCTCTCACAATAGACAGAATGACGAAACTAGAAAATCTCTCTTTTACTGCAGAGGCATTCTGGGGGGAGAGTAATTTTAATGGCACAGAAAGTTACCTAGTACTGTGTGCATGAGAACTGTCTGGTCAAATTATTCTGCTTCTGGGTGATGCGTTTGCCTCAGTAACCTTGATAATGATAGTTTCAGACAGGAGTATGCCCCTTAACTCCATGCACCAGTACATGCTGGGAGCCACCCAGCTGGCAAGCAGCTTTGCCAAAAAGGCCCTATGAAGGCCTAGTGGACACCAGGTTGAACATGAGCCAGAAATGTGCCCTCATGGCAAAGAAGGAAAGCAGTGTCATTGGCTGCCTTAGGAGGAGTGTTGCCAGCAGGTCAAAGTAGGTGATCATTCAACTCTACTCAGCACCTGTACTCACATCTAGAGCACTGGGTCCAGTTCTGGGCTTCTTAGATCAAGACAGATATGGACTTATTGGAGGGTATGCAGCAAAGGGCCGCTAAGATGATGAAGGGACCAGAGCATCTGTCCTATGAGGAAAGGCTGAGACTGTTCAGCTTGGAGAAAAGAGGGCTCTGGGTGGAACTCATCAATATGTGCAAACACCTGAATGGAGGGTGTAAAGAGGGAGTCAGATTCTTTTCAGAGGTGCCTGGGGTCAGGACCAGAGGCAATGGACACAAACTGAAACACAGGAAGTGCTATATGAACATCAGGAAATGCACTGTTAATGTGAGAGTGACCGAACAGTGGCACAGGTTACCCAGAGAGGTTGTAGAGTCTTCTTCCTTAGAGATTTTCAAAAGCTGCCTGGATATTATGGCCCTGGACAACTGGCTCAGGGTGTCCCTGCATAAGTTGGACAAGGTGACCTCCAGAGGCCCCTGCCAACCTCCACCCTTCTGTGATCCTGTAAAGATGCCTGCCATGCATGGTTAGGGCCTATATCTAGTGCTGATGCATTGCATCCTGGTTTGTGAGCAGGTTGGGGATTGGAAGCAGACAGAGTAATTTTGCATCTTGGTTACATTGTACAGTCATAGATTGCAATTCCAGATTATGTCAGGCTAGTGAAGATCCTTCAGAAGTGTCAGATCGTGTGTCATTTCTGTCTTTGAGATATTTGGCTATGCAAATCATATGACTTTGACAAAATAATCCCAACACATACAGAGTTCTGATATGCTGAAAAATACAGTTAAAACTTTGGTACCACGGGTTTGGTCTTTCTGATTTGTGAAGTAGTAACGAGGTTCCCTTGTGCTACTTCAGTTCATGACAAGTACACACCTCTACTTCCTCTTACTGGAGAAGAGCCAGAATCTGCTATACAGTCACAGGCAATGTGCTCTTGGAGGGGAGGAGAGCCAAGCATTTGCCGGCCATCACAGATCTTCTTGCACTTACCAGCACAGCTGGGCACTTTATCCACTGTATCACATGGGCTTGAACCACAGCTTCTGTCAGACACAAAGGGAGGTTTCTACACTGCAGGGTGCTGCCTGTACCCTCAGGTGCTCCCAGGCTTTATGGTCAGTGTCTTGTCCAGGGAGGTGAGAGGGAGCTTTGCTGGAGGGCTGATTCTCATTGCATCCTTCCCTGACCAGTTTGGAATGGTTTTCCTGGTGCTGCCATGGAAACGGTGCCTGGAGTCACAGAAGAGCAAATGTGTGTAGCATTCAGCTGCTGCCAGGTGTGGGGAGGAGAGAGCCCTCATTTTACCCAGTCCAAGTTCCCACTGCGGGAAGAGATGTCAGATTTAAGATGGGGGGCGGGGGGACGTATAGCTATGGCTCTAAACCACAGCTCAGAAACCATGGCTGAAAATGAATTTTAATCCTCTCTCTGCCATTAAATTCACTTAAAACACTAGGTTTAAAATTCAGCATGCGTGGCTTGTTTTTATTTACTTTGCCTTTTCTTTTCTATACTGTGACATCATGAACCATCTTTTTTTCTGAAAAGGGAGCTGCAACTCCTACCTGCTTGTTCTGCATTTGGGATTAGTGGGCTTTAGTGATGCGGATTGTATGAGACAGGTCTTGGACAAAACCATCTGGGTTATCAACACTGCTAGAAGGTGCCTGTGTTCATCCCACAGGGATAGGTACAATTTTGATTGCTGTGTTTTGCTGTAGTAAAAACTTGAATTTCAGATGACTTTCTTAGTACTGTCAATAAAATATCCTGATTGAAGTAATGCAACAAATTGACTCATTCATTATTTTTACTCTCTCTTCTCTCTTTTTTCTTTCCCCTGATTGAATTGAAGTAACGATTCCTATAGCTCTCTTATTTTGTAATTAGATCATAGAAATAATTTTGATATTGCTCCTGTAAGGAACATCCCTGTAGAGATATGTCAGTCCATTTTAGTCTATTGACAGTTTCCTGAGCAGCATTTTGGTGGCACCTGACTAGTCTTGGAACTGAAATCTATTCTCTAATAGTGGAAGCAGCACAATTGTCTCAGTGAGGCATGGTGATTCTGGAGTGCAGTAAACATTGCTTGTATGTTTGATCTCACAGAGCCATAACCACAAATCCAGTCCAGTATATATAATTCTTCTGTTCCATTAATTGTTTTTCTTACAATGAGTAGTACAAATCTAGAGTCTTTTTGCTTGTTTGAGAACTCAATAGCAAAACTATTTTGTGTTTTATTGAAAGAATTACCTGGTTTCCCAATCTGGATATTTTATGGATGAAAATCTGGTTTTACATAGGAAAACCTGATGCACTATGTTTTCTAGTATCTTTTTTGTGGTAATAAATGTATGTTTAGCTAGTAAAAATGACCATTATTCGTCAGACAAATTGTCTGCACTGGTGACCATAAGTATATAATGACTAAAGAGTAAGAACACAGCCAGAATATATGGTAGTCTTCTAATACTCAAAAGCCACCTGTTTCCAGATTTCCATGACCCAGCGAAGTTACGAGGAATTTAGTAACCATCTTTATGCCTATCACATAAAGAACCATCTTCTTTCACCTGTTTTCAAGTCTGTAGAGTGCTTCTGAGTCAAAATCAGAGCCACTGAGAGAGATCTCATGGTGACTGCTATCAGACCAGGATCAGGAGGAAGAGGTGGATGAAGCCTACACCTCCAAGAGACCTCAGGCTCTGATTCTCAAATGGAGAGATACTTACTGATACTTACTAGGAAGGCAACACAGTGGTGAATAAGCAATTTGGGACATTTCCAGGGTGCGCTGGGGAAAGCTTCCTCATGTGGTCTTGGATGGGCCAACTAGCAACAGTGTTCTTCTGGACTGAGTGCTTATTAATAAACAGTGTTTGAAGACGTGAATATCAACAGCACCTGCAGAGACTGTAGGAGCATTGAGGCCAAGGGTTTGAGGGGGACAAGTGATCATATAAAGACCTGGACTTCAGAACAGTAGATTTCAACTCATTCAGGGAATTGCTACGAAGGATCCAGTGGGAACCTGTCTTACAGGGCAAAGAAACTGAGGAATTTTGGTGGATTTCCCAGTACAGCTGCTTCTTGAAGCACAAGGGCAGTCTATCCCCTTAAGCAGGAAAAGGAGCAGACATAAAAAGAAATCAGTTGGAAAAGCACCAAGCTACTAAGAGAGCTCAAATGAGAAAAGGAGCAGTAGAGCAGTGCAAAAGGGGACAAAGTCACAAAGAGGAATATAGAAGTACTGCTTCAGTGTGCAGGGATGCAATTAGAAAGGCAAAAGCTCAGCTGGAACTTAAAGCAGCAAGAGATAACAAGAAAAACATAAAAGTTTCTGCAAGCGTGTTAACAGTAAGTGGAAGTACAAGAAAGATGTAGATCCTGATGCCAGCAAGTTCATCAAGAATGGCACAGGAAAGGCTGAGATGCTCAACCCATGTTCACAAGTAATGTCAGGCCTCAAAACTCTGTGTCAAGAAGCAACAGCAAAGCAAATGGCAAACCACTGATGGTACAGAAGGGTCAAGTGAGGGACCATCTGTACCAACTGGACAGGTACAGCTCCAATGTGACCTACTAGGATGCAACTGAGGATGCTGAGTTGTCTGACATCATCACAAAACTCCTCCTTCACATCTTTGAAGGAAGTAAGGGGAAATCCCATATATCTGCAAAACGCCAAATATTTCAGCCATCTACAGAAGGGCAGAAAGGCAGAACAAGGAAGCTACAGACCTGTCAGCCTTAAGTTTCTGGGAGAAAATATATAACTCATGAAAGAGTTTCCAGGCTGTTTAAGGGTATATGAAATTGGTATTGGTTTTGCTCTGTGAGGGTCACCTGCTTATGTACAGGGAATTTAATCTCCCACTTTGTGTCCTGCTTTTTCAGGCATCCTTCTAAAGTTCTCTCTTATTGCACTTCGGTCTTATTGTCATATTGTCAAATTTGCACTGCAAAATTGTATAATGTTTTATTGTTACCAAAATTGATTACCCTGTTCGGTCCTTGTTTCAAGTAATTTTTGTACATATTAAACCGAGTGGAACACAGAATTAGAACTTCACTGGTGGACACCTTGAAGTGGGAGAATTTACCATTTATTTCTAAATTTGACCTCCTATTTAGGAAAGTACTTATCTATACAGAAACCTTCTGGATAACTAGTTCATATTATGTCAGAGTCCACTAATTCTGTTCCGTCTTTTAGGCTCCAGTAATTTGCCTGATAAGACTGGCTTGCTGCTTTGTAGTCTTCTAGATCTCCCTGGAACTGGCATTTTATTCAATGTCTTACAGTTTTCAGGTACTACATCAGTTTTAAGCTGTGCATTTCTTAGTTCATTAGAACTATTGAACAAATACCATCTGATCTTCAATTTGCTACTGTTTGTTTTGTCAGTTTGTTTCATGACCTATTCACTCCAATTTCAGGCAGATCCTCTGCTAAGACTCCCTCAGTGAGTTCTTGGCATGGGAATTTCCCATGAAATAGTAAAAATTTTCATGAAGGATTAATCTGGTTTCTTTTCAACGAATCCCTTTCTATCTTGATCACTCAGTGGCTTTACAAACTCTTCAAACAGATTCTTGCTCCTGATGCATTTGGAGAAATATTTCTTGTTTGCTTTGATACTTTTGGCTATTTGTCCCTTAGAATCATATTATACTGTCTTGTCTTATTATGTTTAACCTGTCAGAATTTATGTTCCTTTATTTTCTTCATTTGAAGAAAATTCCAACTTTCAGAAAAAGTATTTTTTATTACTGTTTTCTTTGTTAAGTCTTAACCTTTTCTTAGCACACTGTCTTGACTAACTGTGCTTTCATCATCTGCTTCCAACAATTAGTTTCCCTACTGTCTATGAGGATCTACTCTTAGCTTTAAAGAAACTTTTTGATTTTTTTCTCCTATATATTTTGTCTTTCTAAGTGTCTCATAACTGGTAGATGTTCTGCCTTCTGTGGGGATGTTGGATTTAAGGACAGAATGATCTCTCTGAGTGGCTTCTCAGCTGTAAGATGTTAAACTGTCTTGACCAAGTCAAGAACTTCATCTTTTCTCATGAGCATCCTAAGCAGCTGTGTATCTAGTATCCAAACTTCAGCTTACATACTATGTCTTTCTGTCACTTTTTTTTTTTTGAGTGTATGGGCTATTAGGGTGATTGAAGATTCCCAGAACTATCACATTTTGTACCCATCTTTCAAAGTATATCTCTGGTAACCCCATACTGCATCATCCATATGTCAACCCATAAAAGGCATTTTTATTAATTTTTATGATTGTTTATTTAACTTGGTTCTAAGCTCTTTCCCAACTGTCTTTGCCCATACTGCAAATGTTATCCTGAACTACATGTTCCTTACCTATTTGTTTTCAAATAGGTAATTTTTAGACTGTAATTTCATTATGAAAAGCTTTTTACTGTGTTCAAAAGATGAGCTATTCATACCAGAAATTAGGAGAATAAGATCATAATGATACTTCTTAAAACTAACATTTTCATTACTAATTGCTTTTCTCTTTCAAAAGGAACAATATGAATCTGCTGAGAATTTCCTGAAATATTTTTGTAGGGTAGCCAGAAAAGGAATGAATTGCCTAATTATTTTACTAGTTCTCTTCTTTGTAATAAAAGATGTAATAAAAGAGGAAATATTCAGAAGCTATTAAAGTTAACTGCTACTGCCACAGAATCATCTGTGAGAAAATGTGCAAATCTCAATGGTCTGCAGTACTTGAGTTCAAATTTTTTTAGCCTATGCTGTTTGTAAGTCTGGATTTTCTTCTTTAGTATTTAACAGTAGTGGAAATAAGTGGATTATTTGACTAATCAATGTACTGTCTGCTAGAATACTAGAATTTTTGTTTAGGAATATCCCTATATTCAAGTTAAATTTCCTTACAGTTTTGTTGTAATCCTCAATTTATTTGAAAGTCCATCCACATTCATTTAGTGTAGCAAACTGTGTCTCTCAAGTGTGCAGAAAATCACCCTTCTATGTTTGTTAGTTGTAAGAAAAAAAAAAGCAAAACCCTATAGGTATTGATTTGCATGTGCTAGGTTGTCCTTAAAAAAAAAAAGCCCATCTTACTTTGTTAGATAACTTCTGGATCCCTTACTAACTTGCTAATGACTAAGTTTTTAATAGCTACTCATG